AAAAAAAGAAAAAGAAATTAGAAAATACTTGGAATTCAAAATCATGAAAGTGCTTCTGGTAGTTACTATGTGTATGATCTTGGACAATTACTTAACCTCACTGTGCCTTAGTTTCCTCGTGTATAAAATGAGAACAGTAATAGTATCTATTACCTATTAGGATTCAGTATGGTAATATACAAAGCACTTGTACCAGGGCCTGGCACACAGTAATGCAATACAATTCTGAGTTGTTATCATCATCATCATCATCATCATCCCAAAACATAAGGACTATAACTAGAAAAGTATTTAGAGGAAATTGTATAACTTAAAAGTTTACATTAGAAAATAATAAAGACTGGAAATTAAAGAGATAGGCATCCAACTTAAGAAGTTAGAAAAAGAACCTGATTCAGGGTCAGGGTGGCTCCCTGAAGAGCTAATCAATGGTTAGGCCAAGTGCTGCAGTGTGGGTAGGGTCAGACATGGGAAAGGTGAGAAGAGGTGGTGCCACATCTCTGCACCTTTGCTGCTGCCTTCTTTAGTTCTGGATGTGCTTCTCCCTTCTACCTACCCAAATCTTCTCCTTCCTTCAATGGCCCACTCAGTTTCCACCTCTTCCAGGAAGCCTTCCCTAACTACTTCAGTCCAATGGTGCCTCCCTCCTCAGACATTTTAATACTTACTTCATAACTATTTCATTTGTGGTCATTTTGTTCCCCCAAACAGAATTCAGTCCCCCTGAACACCAGGACCACATCATTCTGGCACCCTTCCAGAATCAGGCCTATACAAGTTTTGCTTGCTTGAATGGATAACCAGGTCCCTGGAGTAAGGCTGGGGTGAGGTGGCATCTGAGACTTAGGAGTCCAGGGTCTCTGTATGAGGGAGGATGGGAAGCAACTGGTATGCCTGCTGAACTCGGGGCAGCTAGCCCGCCCACCCAGGACCAGGGAGGGCTTGCCAAAGCAAGCAATAGTAGTTGAGCTGGCATTTGCCATGGTCACTGATATTCTCCCACTTTGACAAGGCAGCACGGTCCCTGCAGCCCCTACAGTTCTAGGTAGGTGCCAGCAGGGGGCAGGAACCCAGAGCCACCCTGCTGAGGAACAAGTGCAGCAGGGGAGGGCTGCAGCAGGGCATTTGGGGCCCAGCTGTCCTTGCATAGGGACATGGCGGGAGGACAGTAACCAAGCCAGGAAGCAGGCCCAATGGGCTCCAGCAAGCCAGGAGATTCTCTGAGAATGTCCTTTAAAGCCACCAGCACCATGCTCATCAACTGCCTTCCAGCACGAAACACTCCCTGGGACAGTCAGGAACAGTGGCATTCTGGAAGCCAATGTCGTGGACAAGGGGCCTCACATTCCCCACCCTTGACACATGGAAGGGGGAGATGGCCTGCGGGCTTTCCTGCTATGAGCACCAGACCCAGCGGCAATCCTCACTCTCCGCTCCCAGTGCAGCCCAGATTGGGGGGCACAAATGACTGATGTGAAACCCAAAGGATGAAAGAGAACAACCATTTTATTATTTGGAAGTTTAGAGAAGAGATGGGATGTTTACATAGCTAGAGAGGCATTTGTTTTCTATCAGCCCAGGGGAGGGACAGTGAGAGCAAGGAGACACTGACAGCAAAGAAAAAACCTCCAGCAGAAAAGAGAGGTGGGCTTTTTGCAAAGGAGGTTCTGATCTGAGCAGATCTATCCCTAGGGCCGAGCTCCTCCCGGGCCCTGAAATCAGGCAGAGTAACCTGAAGCCCTTCTCCTCAGCCAGCAGAGCGGCCAGAGGGGCTGAGGCTGGGCCCCAGTTTTTGAATCACAACTCCTTCTGCTCTTTCTCTTAATGGAGTTTGCTGGTGTG